CATGTATTGTTTACATTGCTTTCAGACGAACAGTGAGTTGAAACGACACAGCATGAACGAATATTGAGTTCTTTGCTTTTATTCGTTGAATCGCCAGTTATCACAAACGTACATTCATGCTTCCTCGTGCTCGACTTGCTTGGCTGAATCTAGCGACCTGGTCGGACTTCCCATACACTCAGGAATTTATCAGCGTCTCTCGAACCATCCATCTATACTTCATGGACTCTGATATCTGACATTACGACGTATGGAAAAACATTCAGTCCTCCTATTGAAATATAACGTTCACTTGACAAATCATTTATTCTTCTCAGGCGTTCAGTCACGCGTCCTCTCTCAGTCAGGGCAGAACTTCAACTCCCTTACTTCAGTCTCTCGGTTCACGTCTTCCGTTCACGTCTCATGCTTTTCTTGTGTCTCTCACTTCGTTTACCATGAGACACACGAGACTCACTTCTCCCGTTTTTCTCTTCTCTCACGGGTCCTCCGACCTTTTTCTCCCCATCGGGAACTCTCTGGGGTTTCCCCGGGAATTCACAACATTACATTGGTGTTGTGTTGTTGACTGTGGGGCTCCTTCCTCTGGTGTTGGTGTTTGTGTTGTTGACTGTGGGGCTCCTTCCTCTGGTGTTGGTGTTGTGTTGTTGACTGTGGGGCTCCTTCCTCTGGTGTTGGTGTTTGTGTTGTTGACTGTGGGGCTCCTTCCTCTGGTGTTGGTGTTGTGTTGTTGACTGTGGGGCTCCTTCCTCTGGTGTTGGTGTTTGTGTTGTTGACTGTGGGGCTCCTTCCTCTGGTGTTGGTGTTGTGTTGTTGACTGTGGGGCTCCTTCCTCTGGTGTTGGTGTTTGTGTTGTTGACTGTGGGGCTCCTTCCTCTGGTGTTGGTGTTGTGTTGTTGACTGTGGGGCTCCTTCCTCTGGTGTTGGTGTTTGTGTTGTTGACTGTGGGGCTCCTTCCTCTGGTGTTAGTGTTGTGTTGTTGACTGTGGGGCTACTTCCTTTGGTGTTGGTGTTTGTGTTGTTGACTGTGGGGCTCTTTCCTCTAGTGTTGGTGTTGTGTTGTTGACTGTGGGGCTCCTTTCTCTGGTGTTGGTGTTGTGTTGTTGACTGTGGGGCTCCTTCCTCTGGTGTTGGTGTTTGTGTTGTTGACTGTGGGGCTCTTTCCACTAGTGTTGGTGTTGTGTTGTTGACTGTGGGGCTCTTTCCTCTGGTGTTGGTGTTTGTGTTCTTGACTGTGGGGCTCTTTCCTCTAGTGTTGGTGTTGTGTTGTTGACTGTGGGGCTCCTTCCTCTGGTCTTGGTGTTGTGCTGTTGACTGTGGGGCTCCTTCCTCTGGTGTTGGTGTTGTGTTGTTGACTGTGGGGCTCCTTCCTCTGGTGTTGGTGTTGTGTTGTTGACTGTGGGGCTCTTTCCTCTAGTGTTGGTGTTGTGTTGTTGACTGTGGGGCTCCTTCCTCTGGTGTTGGTGTTGTGTTGTTGACTGTGGGGCTCTTTCCTCTAGTGTTGGTGTTTGTGTTGTTGACTGTGGGGCTCCTTCCTCTGGTGTTGGTGTTGTGTTGTTGACTGTGGGGCTCCTTCCTCTGGTGTTGGTGTTTGTGTTGTTGACTGTGGGGCTCCTTCCTCTGGTGTTGGTGTTGTGTTGTTGACTGTGGGGCTCCTTCCTCTGGTGTTGGTGTTTGTGTTGTTGACTGTGGGGCTCCTTCCTCTGGTGTTGGTGTTGTGTTGTTGACTGTGGGGCTCCTTCCTCTGGTGTTGGTGTTTGTGTTGTTGACTGTGGGGCTCCTTCCTCTGGTGTTAGTGTTGTGTTGTTGACTGTGGGGCTCCTTCCTCTGGTGTTGGTGTTTGTGTTGTTGACTGTGGGGCTCTTTCCTCTAGTGTTGGTGTTGTGTTGTTGACTGTGGGGCTCCTTCCTCTGGTGTTGGTGTTGTGTTGTTGACTGTGGGGCTCCTTCCTCTGGTGTTGGTGTTTGTGTTGTTGACTGTGGGGCTCTTTCCTCTAGTGTTGGTGTTGTGTTGTTGACTGTGGGGCTCTTTCCTCTGGTGTTGGTGTTTGTGTTCTTGACTGTGGGGCTCTTTCCTCTAGTGTTGGTGTTGTGTTGTTGACTGTGGGGCTCCTTCCTCTGGTGTTGGTGTTGTGCTGTTGACTGTGGGGCTCCTTCCTCTGGTGTTGGTGTTGTGTTGTTGACTGTGGGGCTCCTTCCTCTGGTGTTGGTGTTGTGTTGTTGACTGTGGGGCTCTTTCCTCTAGTGTTGGTGTTGTGTTGTTGACTGTGGGGCTCCTTCCTCTGGTGTTGGTGTTGTGTTGTTGACTGTGGGGCTCCTTCCTCTAGTGTTAGTGTTGTGTTGTTGACTGTGGGGCTCCTTCCTCTAGTGTTGGTGTTGTGTTGTTGACTGTGGGGCTCCTTCCTCTGGTGTTGGTGTTGTGTTGTTGACTGTGGGGCTCCTTCCTCTAGTGTTGGTGTTGTGTTGTTGACTGTGGGGCTCTTTCCTCTGGTGTTGGTGTTGTGTTGTTGACTGTGGGGCTCCTTCCTCTGGTGTTGGTGTTGTGTTGTTGACTGTGGGGCTCTTTCCTCTAGTGTTTGGTGTTGTGTTTGTTGACTGTGGGGCTCCTTCCTCTGGTGTTGGTGTTGTGTTGTTGACTGTGGGGCTCCTTCCTCTAGTGTTAGTGTTGTGTTGTTGACTGTGGGGCTCCTTCCTCTAGTGTTGGTGTTGTGTTGTTGACTGTGGGGCTCCTTCCTCTGGTGTTGGTGTTGTGTTGTTGACTGTGGGGCTCCTTCCTCTAGTGTTGGTGTTGTGTTGTTGACTGTGGGGCTCTTTCCTCTGGTGTTGGTGTTGTGTTGTTGACTGTGGGGCTCCTTCCTCTGGTGTTGGTGTTGTGTTGTTGACTGTGGGGCTCCTTCCTCTGGTGTTGGTGTTGTGTTGTTGACTGTGGGGCTCTTTCCTCTAGTGTTGGTGTTTGTGTTGTTGACTGTGGGGCTCCTTCCTCTGGTGTTGGTGTTTGTGTTGTTGACTGTGGGGCTCCTTCCTCTGGTGTTGGTGTTTGTGTTGTTGACTGTGGGGCTCTTTCCTCTAGTGTTGGTGTTGTGTTGTTGACTGTGGGGCTCTTTCCTCTGGTGTTGGTGTTTGTGTTGTTGACTGTGGGGCTCCTTCCTCTGGTATTGGTGTTTGTGTTGTTGACTGTGGGGCTCTTTCCTCTGGTGTTGGTGTTTGTGTTGATCAGCATCTGTCGGGAAGTGAATGTGTCGTAGCATTCACAGAAGATGACAGGGCGTCGACAAAGGAAAGGGGTGTTTGCCCATTCCACCGGCTATAGGAAAACGGTGTTATGGTGGAAAGGCGAGGTTAGAAGGTCTTAACGGACACGGGCGTTAAATGTTTACTAATAATTTAACAATAATAATATGCTCACTGACAAATATAATAATATATTTGAAATATTTTGAAATATGTTCATAAATACTTACAAAAGAACTTGTACACTGCGCTGAGATTCTTCAGACTCAGGCTTGAGTTAGAAGTAGAACGGAGCACTTGTGGGTTTACACCCTTGTGCAATGATGTTGATCCATTGACGAAACCAAACTAAATTAAAAGAACTTATATACATGGCTGCTCGCGTGTGTGTATGTGGGTTGGGGGAGGGGGAGGGTGTTGTAGCCCTATTTAAAAAAAACTGTCCGGTTGTGGTGGGAATGGGATTATTTCTTCTTCGGTTGGATCCTAGATTTTTCAACTGGAAGCTCGACTTTTTGGTTGGAGACTCGATTTTTCTGTTAAAGGCTCAATTTTTCACTTCCGGACTCGATTTTTTAGTTGGGTACTCGATTTTAAGGTTGGGGAGCACGATTTTGCAGTTGGGGCTCGATATTTGGGTTGGGGGATCAAGACACCTAAATCTCCGTGCCAGCGCCCTTGAGAGATAAAGAAACCAACAAGCAAAACAAGTAATGACGGCAAAGTTGGGATTATAAATGTTCCTTTTCTGTGTCTTCTGGCAGGCTGAAGAAACTGGGCTACACAGTAGTCATCATCTCAGTGGGAGCCAGTGCTAGCTTCGACCAGCAGGGTCTACAGACGGATGCCAGCGGTCCCAGGTACTTCTACAACATCGCTGACTACTCCAACCTGGAGACAGCTGTCAGGGACTTCGCACAGAATCGACTCTGCCATGGGCGTATCAACAACAGCAGTAAGAAAACATGGTTGTTTCCTATATCAATGTGTCAGTGGTAAGGCGTGGCCAGTTCGCATGTGTACGTTTTAGTAGGTAACAATTGCACTGGAAAGGTTATCACGTGATATTTTCTTCCTCGTTTCTTCGCTTGTGAGGAAATACGTGCACAGCTGCCATCGATGTAGTGGTAGCTTGTAGCTTTCCCATGTTACAGCATTTTTGTAAGTGTTCTTAGCATGCAAAAAGCGTTCTTTTCATTATAATAATACTATTAACGAGCTTTAGTGCTCGACGAGAGATAAACTCATCATTATGTGCCATGCCAACTGGCGTAGGCACTAGTGCGTCTACACAGATCACGATAGCTGGTTGCCTGGATCAGCTCTCTTGATGATATCCCTCCATGTCGTCGTTTTAGCCCCTCCAGCATCAACTCTCTGGGTCTGCCGCTACCCCCTTTTCCACTGATCTTCTAGATGTCATGATGTTCTCCTATGTCTCTCTTCTCATTATGTGGCCAAAGAACAGTAATAAATAGTAAACCATTAATAATACATAGTTAAATATGTTTATATATATATATATATATATATATATTTATCGCCAAAAGCGGTATCTGTCATGATGTTGTCCCCACTTTACTTCTTCTTTGCCGTCACACAGCCGGACTCTGCGCCAACAGTGGACACCGCGAGAACGGTGTTGGAATGGTTGCCCACCCCAAGGACTGTGACAAGTACATCCAGTGCTACTACGATGAACTCGATGACGTAGACCTGGGGGTGGTCAGAACTTGCCCAATGGGACTTCACTGGCATTACTTGAATGAGACCTGTACCAAACCTTCTGAAGCCAACTGTTCTAACGGTATTATTATTATTATTATTATTATTACTATTTATTATTATTATTATTATTATTATTATTATTATTATTATTATTATTATTATTATTATGGCCATATTATAAAAGTTAGTTGTGTATCTTTTACAATAGGTTGCAGAACCAACCCCATAATTTTTTTTTTATTTACTTTTGTAAATTAACCAAATAACATGCGATAACACCCTGTACGGTCCGCATCCCACCCTCACCTTCCTACGCCTCTGTACCTACCGTTGTCCTAATTAGCGTAAAGTGGTCTGCTGTCAAATAACATGCTACTGGAATTCAATCAGGTGTTTAGAAATTGCGAAGTGTGTTTAGAAAGCTGAAGTCTCAGACACCGATGCTATTACAAAAGAATGTAAACAATTTTTTCGCCATTTTTTTTTATTTTTTTATTCCTTGATTTTAAAACTATTATTACTTTGCCCATTCCGCTTTCCATAAATGTAACTTCCCTTTAATAAATTAACTGTTGTCTGCAAAGATGATATGTAATTTATAAGTATAGTGTGATAGAATTGTTAATGTGGAAATTTAAGCGTGAGCTAAACACATTCTAGTGGCTCTTCTTCTGCTTTTTCCTCAGCGGTTGTAAACTCCAACGGAAAGTTCTTGTTGTTAGTCCACTTCTAGACTTTAGTATTGTCCCAAATCTTGAGTTTTGCATGCACATTTGTTTTACAGATCTGGTTTAATTTATGCAGACTATTGGTTCCCTGCCACTTAGGCCGATGCACTCCGATATTGAAAGAACCCCTAATTAGTCAACTCTCACGGCGTGCTTGTTATGGTGCACTAGGTCTATATTTTAGGGCCCCGGAACAAACACTGGAATTTCTAGTAGATCAGGAGGTGAGGAAGGCATGCTGGCGTTGGATAGGACACATATTTAAGAAAAACCTAATAACAATATAACTAGAATGTTCTTGTACTGAAAGCCACAGGGTTAATAAAAGCAGATGAAAAACACACAGACCGGGGAGTTCAAAACTGGAACGCAAAAAAAAAAAAAAACATGGAGAATTTGAAATCAGCTGCAAGCGGCAGCAAAGGAGATGACAACTTGGCGTGACAGACCGAGTTTGTGATCCATTAGAAGATACCGGACAAAAGATAAGCTTGCTCTATAAATATCTATCACTTTCTGCAATGATTTTTTAAGGAATAGCGGCTGATTTGATCACAAGAGCAAGATTGAATAGCAGTAATTGAGATATTGCTTTCACTTTGATTTAAAAACTTTTTTTCTTTTCTTCTTGGTCTCTGGCATTCTGGGAATCTTTCTGTAGCATTTCGACTCAAAATCCATATTTTCTCCCTAAATTACATGCTAGATAAAAATGTTAATCTTGATTTCCTTGTCAAAGCTCAACCACAAACTTCAAATTCCATTTGCAAGCAGTATATTTGAAAAATAATTACACATTTGTCAATCGGCGCTCATAGAAAGAAGTTGCAAGATAGAAGTACACACATAGAAATCGTAAGCTATAGATACCATCTTTCGTGTACTGCGTAAACTCAATCACGAAAGCAATCGCTCTGACTGGTGGTGTGAGACTGTCGGGAATGGGCCCATTATGGACATGAGAGACATCGTCAATGCCGTACGAGACTAAACGCTGTGATGCTTTCAGTTTCGTGGAACATTATTATCCCTGAACAGACTGCATACACTGGATGTACCAATTAGAGCAGCGAGACAGGAAAACATTCAGGATCTAACCGTCGTTACATCAACCAGAACAGAATGGGAGTTGTTATACTATAAACACTTGGATACATACTCAGGCGGAGATCGGAACACTTATGGTCATGTCTGATGTGCGATGAATATGATCTTTAAAAATGAACAATAAACAATTAACAATCCCGAACCAAACAATCAGTCAGTTAAACAGTGAGCTGACCATGGCAATTTTTAGATGTACTCTTGCCATAGACTCGATCTACCTGCACAATGTTTCTCATCTAGATCGATGCAAGGAAGAATGCTCAGCCTACAAGACTGGGGGCGCCTGCGGAGCCTACTGGGAGTGTGAAGACGGCGTGTCATCAGCGAAATGTTGCCAACAGAACTATACATTTGTCCCTGAGCACGGGTGTCAGCCAGACGACACTTGCAAAGACTTATGTGTCACGGAAAAGGGGTGCGGTAAGTTGAGAAGCCATTACTGATTATGTGTGCTTTGGTTCATTGGTAACTTCTTCTTGACGTCCTTTTCTACCGCTTCGGCAGTCGAGGGAGATATCAGGTTCTGCTTCGTGCTCCTCTGGCTGCTTCGACTATAGACACATCGTGGTGGTGTCGAGTTATCTTTCCATCGTGTTCTTGGTCTACCTCTTGCTCTACGTCCCTCTCCTTTTGTATGTCTTGTATAGCATCAGAAGTCATTCTCTCCAGGTGAGCATACCATTTGATTTGATGTCTTAGTGTGTAATTTAGAACTGGTTCTATGCTCTTTTGGCCTTATTCCTGATTGTATTTCTTCTGGTCACTCTTGCGGTCGTAATGATAACATCGGGTTGCTTCAATAATGAAGTCAAGCAGATGAAGATACACTGTAACTGACTCGCAGAGCATGGTGTGCAAGGTGGAGACTGTCTGCCCCATTCAGAGTAGCAAGCAAGGCTTCAGATGTCCAGGGTGGTAAGCATTTTTTGGATATTGTCTCTAGGTATACATGTATGTTGGGAAATGAACAGGCAGACAGACGGAAAGCTGGAGTTGTCAAGATCTTTTGGGAGTGAGTGAACCTGGTGGAGACACAATTAGTTCATCCCGGTCTGGAGAGAATGGTGCAACTGAGAGTGGCTAGGGGATCTGGCCGACACTCCCCACTCAGAGGACAGACAAGACGGACATACCATCTGACTGTTACTGGTACCATCGGAATTGGAACTCTTCGCTGGCTGCTGAAGATGAGGGCGGAACGCTTATGGGAATGTCCATTGTGCTATGATGTCGCTTCTTGAAACCCAAAAAAGAACAAAAAAATATTAATAAGGTAAAATACCCTTTCCAGAACTTTGGAGAGTTGTGTATGTAGTGTGCCTTATTATCACCATCATTGTGATCACCATTACTTTCACCATTCCTATAGCCATCATTATGATCACCAATACTATCGCCACTACTAACGCCATCATTGTGATGACCATTGCTATCACCATCATTATGATTACAGTTACTATCACAATTACTATCGCCATTACTAACGCCATCATTGTGATCACCATTACTATCGCCATCATTACTTTCATAATTACTATTATAATTACTATCGCCATTACTATCGCCATCATTATGATCACTAATTCTAACACCATCATTGTGGTCACCATTATCACCATCACTATGATCACCATTACTTTCACCATCATTATGCTCAACATTACTATCACCATCATTATGATCACCAATTCTAACACCATCATTGTGGTCACCATTACTATCGCCATCATAAGAATCAGTAATTCTATCACCATCACTGTGATCACCATTATTATCACCATAATTATGATCACCATTACTTTCGTCATCATTATGCTCAACATTTCTATCACCATCATTATGATCACCAATTCTATCAGCATCACTGTGATCACCATTATTATCACCATCACTATGTTCACCTTTACTTTCACTATCATTATGATCACTAATTCTATCACCATCATTGTGATCACTATTACTATCACTATCATTATGATCACCATTACTCTTACCATTGTTATAATAATTATTATTACCACCACCTCTATCATTATTATGATCAAAGCCATTACAATTATCCCCAACATCATCATGTTGCTTGTTTTAGGTAAGTGTCAGAAGAAGCCAAACTGGCAGCGTTCTGCCGGATATGACGTCATGATTCTCGGGGGAAACATGTGGTTTCCGCGGCCATGTTCCTATGAAGACTTCGATATCGTCGACTGTGACTGCACGGCCCCGAGGGATCACGGTGAGCTATCTTGTTTGTTTGGAAATGAGGTGCACGCGCAGTCACACACCATTAAATTACCCTTTTCGCACGTTTAGGCACATTGGGCATATAGTTAAAGGACCTTTGTTCCAGGCTTTTATGCGTATTGGGTAAATAAGGTTAGACCTTTTTTGTTTAGAGTGATCGGCATTCGGTGGGCTATGTAGTCAGCCTTACTCCGGCCGCCTTTACTTTCCAGGAATTCAGCTGTTGTCATTTAAGGCTTGGTCGACCTGGGAGCCAAGGTCATTTGGCAAAAACAGTTCAGCACAATGCGAATGTGAACCTACGACTTTCGGATCCGCGATGACGCCCCGTGCGGCCTGCACTCCCACCCTCACCTTCCTACGCCTCTGACTAGATAGACTGTGTGGGCTTTGCCAAGAGTGCAATTGGTTTTAATGCCCCCCCCCCCCCGACGACCTAAAAACTGTGATATGTATTCTGTTTGGGTTTTTGCTGGCACAGGGAGGGAGCCATGCTGGGGTCACCATCGTACTGTTCAGCTGGACGTTTGACTTAATAAATAAATACAAAGTAAACGGTAAAGAATCATTTTCCACGCCTTTCAGGCGTATTGGGTTTTTATGGCTAGACCTATATTTTATAGACCAAACGGCACTTGGCGGGTGATGTGGTCAGCATCCCCTAGGCACCTTTACTTCCCTGGTCTGTACCTGGTACCCACTCAAGGCTGGGTCGACCTGGGAGCTAGTGTCATTTTTAAAAATAATCTGGCCCTAGTCAGGAACCGATCCCACGACCTTCCAATTCTTAGTCGAACGTCTAGCTGCTAGACCACGGCGGATCCTGTTCAACTAAATAACTAGCTAAATAACCTGATGATGTAACCCGCTGTTGGTTTTAGGCCAAACGAGAAAAGCTGCAGATTCGGGCCTCACAATCTACAAATTTTAATTTTTTTTTATAAATGCAATTGTCTTTTAATAGAGCCGTTCATTGGCTACACATTCTTTATTATTTCTTTCACTAAAAATTAAACGACAATATGTTTCAATTTTCCATATATTTAAAAGTCGTAAATATTTTTCAATCTAAGTTGTTTATATACTAATTACGCCCTTTTCAGGACGTAATTTTTTTGTTATTTGAAGCCCCACCCTGGCTTTTGCCAGGGGCCGCAATATAGGCATGCCATAAATATGGCCAGTTGTCTGAACGCGGTTTCTGGGACCTCTCCACGGTGATCCTCATCCACATGGTGGCTCTTTGTGTCATCGGGTGTTTATCGCTTGTGTGATGTCCTGGTGGGGTAGAAATTCATTCATTCATTTTCAATCTTTCTGAAATTATTCTTCTTAAAGTCCATGTCGTGTGGAGTTGGTAGTCATGTCTGCCCACAACCTTCTGTCTCGTGTACTTTTAGTCAACTCTGACACAGTTGATCTTCCATGCCATGATGTCAGACTGTCCAGCATCTGTTCCCGGCGTAATGCTGACCACATTACCCACCGAGTGCTGATGGTCTGTAAAAATATTGGCGCTCTTCCCATATGCCCGATAGGCCTAAAGGCGTGAAAGGGATCTTTACTTACTTTACATCACATGACCAAAGAATGTATACTGACTCTTTCTGATGTCTGCAGTCAGTTCTCTTCGTAAGCCAGTTTCTTTCTAGAAGTCTTCATTACTCTTTTTACATTTCTGAGTTTAGCTGGCGTAATTTATAAAGTAGGGGACTCGGGGCTTTATATAGGTTAGGACCATATAAAGTGTAACTCGGGCTCTTATGTGACTACATTGTTTTGGTTTTTAAAGTGTGTGCCAGTATTATGTGTAACCTATTCAGGTACTATAATTTCAGACCTTCCCAAACAATGGAATCCCCGGAACCCCCACTCCTGTCCACGATTCTAGGGGTGTTATGCGTAAGGTTGTTGTCTGCGTTTGCCAACTCAGAAGGAAGTTGTGTCACCTATAGAATAGTGGATTTGACTGAAGTTTACCTTGTTTGGGGTCTTCTAAAAATTAAAGAACCCTAATTCGTGCCTCACATAAGCCAGTTTATATCTTACTTATCTGTCACTGACATCTGACAGTATGCCCTGCCGACAGAGTCTTTGATTTCACTAATCAAACGACAAGGACCGCAATTGACAAGGGAGATGAGGAGGGGATCCGCGTGTCTGACGTGACCTATAACCCGGAAGGAATTGTCCTAGGACATAAAAGCGCTGTCCATGTGAATGTAAACAAAGGACCCAGTAATAATCAACCATTTACACTGGAATTCAGGTCAGTGGTTGGGTTGTAAGTGCGTAAGACATCCTTAAATCTGTGACTTGTGGCCTCGTCTATGTCCCGCAGTCTTCGTCTCTTGTGTACTGGCAATAATTTCTATCAATCTATCTATCTATCTATCTATCTATCTATCTATCTATCTATCTATCTATCTATCTATCTATCTATCTATCTATCTATCTATCTATCTATCTATCTATCTATCTATCTATCTATCTATCTATCTATCTATCTATCTATCTATCTATCTATCTATCTATCTATCTATCTATCTATCTATCTATCTATCTATCTATCTATCTATCTATCTCTCTCTCTCTCTCTTCTCTTCTCTCTGTCTGTCTGTCTGTCGTCTGTCTGTCTGTCTGTCTGTCTGTCTGTCTGTCTGTCTGTCTGTCTGTCTGTCTGTCTGTCTGTCTGTCTGTCTGTCTGTCTGTCTGTCTGTCTGTCTGTCTGTCTGTCTGTCTGTCTGTCTGTCTGTCTGTCTGTCTGTCAAATGTATATGCACGTGTCTGCCTTCTTGTCTGTCTGTCTACCTGACTGTGTGTGTGTGTCTGTCTGTATATCATCTGTGTATGCACGTATCTGTCTGCTTGTATGTCTGTCTATCTGACTGTCTGTCTTTCTATCATATGTGCATGTACTTAACTGCCTGCTTGTCTGTCTGTCTGTCTGTCTGTCTGTCTGTCTGTCTGTCTGTCTGTCTGTCTGTCTGTCTGTCTGTCTGTCTGTCTGTCTGTCTGTCTGTCTGTCTGTCTGTCTGTCTGTCTGTCTGTCTGTCTGTCTGTCTGTCTGTCTGTCTGCCTTCTTGTCTGTCTGTCTGTTTGTCATATGTGTATGTATGTATTTGTCTACTTGTCGGGCTGTATAATCCTCTGTATACCTGCTACTATCTGTGTATTTGTCTTTATGATATTATGCATGTCTGTATATGAGTACGTGAATGCTTTTATATATATATATATATGTGACTCTCTCTCTCTCTCTCTCTCTCTCTCTCTCTCTCTCTCTCTCTCTCTCTCTCTCTCTCTCTCTCTCTTTCTTTCTTTCTTTTTCAGTCATGCTTTCTTTCTCCTGTCTTCTCTCTTTTTTTCCAACATATGTGAATATACTGATTATTAATCTATGTGTGTATATGTATTGTATCTGTATGCGTATTGTATGTGTTTTGTATGTCTATGTCTGTGCTGTATATGTGTTGTATGTGTGTGTATGTACTGTATATGTATTGTATGTGTGTATGTACCGTATATGTATTGTATGTGTGTTTATGTACTTTATGTGTATTGTACGTGTATGTGTGTACTTATGTGTATTGTATGTGCATGAATCAATGGTATGTGCATGTATGAATTGTGTGTGCATGTATGTATGCCTGCAAAATGGTAAACTAAACTAAGATAGTACAGAACATGTAAAGGTTGATTATTATTTTACCTTACCTGTGGAGCATGGGCGCCCAGCCAACTCATGCTAAGCCGTTCTACCATTCCCTGTTTCATGCAGCTCCCCTAATGTTCCTCTTTATCTGTTTAACTTTATTATTTAACTCCCTTCTCTGTGTGTGTGTGTGTGTGTGTGTGTGTGTGTGTGTGTATTTTGAGGGGGGAGGGTGGGTGGGGGGGTGTCTTCCTTTATTTCCATGTCCCTGTGGGTTCCAGTGCAAAGACATTCATGTTTTTAGGTTTTCTAAACGTGTGTCCTATCCAAAGATAGAGTCTTTTCCTCACCTCTTGGTCCACTGGAACTTGCTTATTTCTCTCCAAAAGCTCAACATTTGTGATTTTATCATATCATTTAATTCCACTTTTTTTTTTTAATTTAATGTAGAGAAGCAAAACTGTGCACTCTCCATGACCTAGTTACTAACAACTGACCTCTGCCCCTACGTGCCCAGGTTCCGAGAGCTGGACTCCTTCAGCCCTTACGGTGAAACCTTGTTCAGCTCCGGGGTCAACTGTGGCACTGCCAACTCCCTTCTAGTGTCCGCCAACGATGAGTTTATCTTTGCCGAAGTCAAAGCAGGTGAACGTGTGTCAGAGGTCAAGGTTCCGTTGAAGGTGAGTCTTCAGATGACGTTTATTTGAAAAAGTGACAGATGGTGTATATATGAAAGACTGACAGATGACAGGGAGATAAAAATTGAGCACAGAACAGAGTTGGGCGGGAGCAGACCCCGGGGCAGACCAAGAAGATGGTAGATAATATACAGGCAGACCAACAAACGCTTGGAGTCAACGACTGGAAAAAGAAGGCCTAAAGCTGAATGAAGTGTAAAAGTCTGGAGAACGCAAAAGACTGCTGTTTAGCAGTTTGATGATTTTAATTTGTTCGGCGGCCGATACCTTGATTTAGTCGGGTTTAAAAATACCCAAGAGGCCACAGGAACAGCTATTAGTTTTAGACGGCCAGCCATTAGTTAATAAAAGACCTTGCCTAGCCTTTTAGCGGTCTATTTGGCTGTCGCACTGTGGTCGGCTCGTTGTGGTCAGACGCCCTCTCTGCCGTTGTTTGAATGCACTTAGTCTCATCGCACAGGTGTGTCAGATAGGACCGATTGATCGACGGTAGACTGGCTCGTGTCCGCGATAATGGTACGTTTCATTTGTTTAGGTGATGTTAGATTTGATTTCCATTGTGCATCCTGGCTAGGAGATATTTTGGTGGCAGGTCGCTATAAATGATTTGTTGATCTAGTGGCATATTGAAGCTTAAAGTACATGTTAAATATGTTTCGGTTTTTGTCATTGTTGAGGTAATCTCGCTGAGCGTATGGTGTCATTATCACATTTCCTTGTTAGCTGGAGATGATTAGTATTTTAGATTCTGCCTCTGGTCGAGCACGTTGGTTGTTGTTAATATATTATTTGTAAAGTATACGTTGATTCTGTTTTCAGATGAGTAAAAAAACAGCTGTTTAATGTGATGGTTATAATTCATTTGCTTGATTCAATGTACGATCTGTAGTCCGTGCACCTGGTTCGTCTAGGTGTATGTACCTATGAAGTTAGGTTGTCGTCATGTAACTCACTATGCAGATTTTCTTTGTCTGGGTTCTGGTGAAATATTTTAGGGTCTCTGCGCAGAAGAACCCCTTGTCTTTTCTTTACCTTTCTGTTTTTGCTGTTTAGCGGGGAGCTATTACTTTTGTCATAATCAAAATTTTCCTTTACCTCCCCAACTTCTGTTTTTTCCCCCTTTTTTTCTTCCCGCTAGCACAGAAGGTTGGTGGTATCTGCGGAACTGAACCTCAAGGGTCAGAAATACTACAGAAAAAAAAAAGAATAAGATTAAGAGAGGAAGAGGAGGATGGAAAAGAGCCACTGGAATAAGGAAGAAGGAGGGTGAAGAAGAGGAGGAACAAGACGAAGAAAGTGAAGAAGATGAAAAAAAAAGAAGATGAAAAAAAAGAAGAAGAATGAGGAGGAGGGGATGATGGTAGAAGAAAGGAATCCTGAAGGAAGGGGAAATAAAGGAAGATGGAAGAAGCAACAATACCACACTGGATGGCAATACCACAGACTGTTTCGAGAAGCCCCATTCAATATCCGACAAATTTAAAGTTACTGGGCTCGTATTATCTACATTAGTAGTTGTGTGTAGACTAACTGGTTTTCATCTCCGGCCTGTCCATCGTGAACCCTGCAGTCCATTGCTGGTACGTGTAAGAAGTACTTTATTTAAAAAGCTAGATGTATTAGTGTTTGAAATAATGTATGTTGAGAGAGACCGACAGACAGAGGGGCGGGGGATGTCAGTGAGTCTATGTGAATTTGTTTCTTTTATGTGAAGGTGAATATTGCACAATTTAAATTTCAAAAGGGACTTAACAAAGAAGAATTCAAGGATCTAGTTCTGTCCTACCACGAAGGAGTTCTAGCCCTTTCTATCAAAGATGAACAAACACAGTACATTGTCAAGACAGAAGGTAGAGATTTATATTATGTGGCTTTTTATAGTAAAAAATGTGCTTTCTTTTGTCTTAAAACATTTATATTGTAAAATATTACTTGATATTAATAAAATTCTATATATGACTCATGAGTATCACTTTTAACTCCATGTGTCGGGCGCAATTTTTGTGTGGTTTTAAAACCCTATCTCAGCTGTTGCCGGGATCCCTAATATAACCCAATCTATAGGTTTAACAGGGTCTCTGCGACTTTCCCCGGGTGATCTTCATCCGAATGGTGGCACTTTGTGTCCCCAGGTGTTTATCGCTCTCTGTGATGTCTTCGTGGGGTTGAGGGTGAATCACAATTGACTCGTGGCTAACATTTTTATTCGGTCAAGTGTCTTCCCTGTGGGAACCTCGACCGCCTGGGGAAGGGGGAGTTTCAAGAAAATGGGGAAGGAAGTGGGGGGTAATTTGTACTTGTAACAATAAGGATTTTCGCCTGTTAGATTCATGAAAACAAAACAGCTTGATGTAGAGAGTAATCTCCGTTGTGCCTGATCCAATATCAGACAAAAATTAGCATATATCAAAACAAAACAGTGTCAGCAATTAACTTGATATTTGGACACTATACTACCAGTGACTGTTTCTTTTGCTCTCTGATACTCTCTCTGATACTTTGAATTATTTGCGTTTTGTTCTCCAAGTTCTTATTACCTGTCCTTGAGATTTTATTTTGTGTCCTCTTTTTAATCATATTTCATTGTGATTGGGGGGGGGGGGGTGTTCCTTGCCATATACTTAAGGGGGGAGGGGTGGGGGCACCACTCGAAAAAAGGTTGCAGACAACTGATTAAGATCTACACACCTGGGTGTCGCCGTGGCGGTGGTGACTAGACGCCAGCCTGCGGATCGGAAGGTCGTGGATTCGTGTCCTGGCGGAGCTGGACTATTTTTTCCAAAAAATGACCTTGACACCCAGGTAGGCCCAGCCTTGAGTGGGTAGCAGGTGCAGTGTTGGGAAGTAAAGGCCTCCGGCGTGATGCTGACCACATCACCCACCAAGTACCGATGGACCTATAAAAAATATAGGTCTAGCCCTATATTCCCCATACGTGTAAAGGCGTGGAAACGGGACCTAAACTTTACTGACACTGAACTACAGGTCACTTCATAACCGTTTTGTGGCGCCCCATTATGGTTGTGGGATGTTCGTCCTCACCCCAATGTTACAACTTGTCGCGGTGACTCGTGACCTAATTATAGCTTTTTGTTGGTTGAACGAGCTATCGGGGATCTGCCATGTTGGTCTATGCCCTAGACTGAGATGTTGAATTCTCAGAATGCTACTGCCGACCTTAAAGTAGCAGCCCGGAGAAGACAAGCTGATCGATCGATAACACTGTTATATGGCTATACGGTTCAACAGGATTTCTAGGATTTGCAACTGTTTGATTCTCATCCGTGAGATGCTAATACCACAGACTTTAAAAAAAAATAAAAACTAGACTATGTGGTTTTCTATTGTGATATGTGAGTTATGATACGATTTATGGTTTTTAGAACGATATGTGTCTGTTTACTGCTATCTGTGGTTATGTATTGTACCAAGTTGTTTTCTTCTTTCAAATACATGTATATCTTTATGTTGAGATATGTTGCATTTTGGACTTATAAAGTGTAATTCTGTACTGCTCAATATCTGGACCCTTCATCTTTTACTATCAATACTAGTGCTACTACTTCCACAAACACCACTGCCACCTTTACAAAAACAGCAACAGCAACAACTACTACTACTGCTGCTGCCACTGCTACTATTAGTGCTACAACCACAACTACCACCGCCACAACCAACTATACTACAATTGCCTCCCCACTCCTAATATCACCACCACCACTGTTACTACCACATCCACCACTATTACTACCACATCCACCACTATTACTACCACATCCACCACTGTTACTACCACATCCACCACTGTTACTACCACATCCACCACTATTACTACCACATCCACCACTATTACTACCACATCCACCACTATTACTACCACATCCACCACTGTTACTACCACATCCACCACTATTACTACCACATCCACCACTATTACTACCACATCCACCACTATTACTACCACATCCACCACTATTACTACCACATCCACCACTATTACTACCACATCCACCACTATTACTACCACATCCACCACTGTTACTACCACATCCACCACTATTACTACCACATCCACCACTATTACTACCACATCCACCACTGTTACTACCACATCCACCACTATTACTACCTATTAATGCTTTTACCACCTCTGCCAAAGCCAGTACTACTACAATTGAAACTACTACTGTCTCTACCACTGCTCCAACCACCACTAGTAACAGTGATACTACAAGTGGCTGTCTGATGTCTTGAGTTTCTTACTTTTTTTTTAAAAATCTTTCTACCTCAGAGGTATCCTTATATTCATCTGTCAAATATTTAACTAACGTGTGTCCATCTGGTTGGCAACATTATGTTATTCTTTAAACTCAGTATGTTATACTTTGACCCCAGTATGTTACTCTTTGACCCTAGTAGTTTTCCTCTTGACTACTCTATTTTTATTTTAAGAAAAGATATAAACCCGAACGAATAGTATATTAGCAAGCTTCACAATATAACAAATACAAACAAAACGTGAACGTTGCGGCTATTGAGCCTTCATCAGCACACACAAATTAAACAATACTACATAGATACAAAAAATCACTTAGCTGGTATCACGATGCGGCCAGGTCGGTTGTTATTTTTATGTTAACCACTTTATGTTATATGCTAACCCCAAATTTCATATCTTTTGACCCAATTTGTTAACCTTGTATACTAGTCCGTTATCTTGATGTTATCCTTTGACACCAGTATATTATCCTCTCACCCAAGTATGTTATCCTCTGACCCCAGTGTGTTATCCTTTGACCTCGGTATCTTATAGGTATGTTATAATTTGAATCCAGTAATATATCCTTTATCCGCCAGTATATTTTTATTTAACCCCTGTTTTTTATCCTATGACCCTCATTATTGTATCCATTTACCCCAGTACGTAATTTTGATCTGCCCGTTAGGTTATCGTTTGACCCAAATACGTTAACCTGGTTACCCGGGTATGTTATTCTTTGACCACAATGTGTTATCCTTTGATATATTACTCTTTGACACTGCTGTTTTATATCTTGTTCTCAGTTTATTATATCATGACTGCTCACGCCTGTTATCTGTCCGCGTTTTTTATCTACAGCTCCGGACAATCTGTGCCTCTCTTGTGGCATTGACATTGGCCAGGGGCTCAACAAACTAAGTTTCGATGGAGAGATAGAAAAGGTCATTGTCTGCCTGTTTGTCTGTCTGTGTCTGCAGTCTGTAGACCTACATGACAATATGCCTGTCTGTATATCTGTATGTTGACATATCTCTCCTTCTGTGGGGCTGATATATGTCTGTCTGTCCATTCGCCTATCTGTCTGTCTTTTGACCTGATTGTGTATGTATGTTTGTGTCTGATTGCCTAATCGCTGTCTATACTTAGTTTGGGTGGAAGGGGATGTTGAATTAAGAATCCACATCACAACACTCGGGATATTGCCATAAGCACCCCCACCCCATCCTCTCCATCTTCAGCAGCGAGCACAGAGTTCCCAATTTAGATGGCACCAGTACCACTCTGATTGTACATACATCTCGTATTTTTTTGAGTTGAGTATTGAGCGTCTGCCAAATGCCTTGGTCACTTATCGCAAGCCCTTCTCCTCAGGCCGTCATGTTCCGTGTGTGCCTCTGCACTGTTCACTTGCTCCCAATGTACCCTTAAAGAATCTAGTTTGTCAAGCATCAATTCCCCACAGAGTGGTGCTGTGCCATCCACACACTAGCATAACTTGGAAAATATCCAAAGGATGATAATTACCCGGGACCTCTGTAGCGATGCTTGCCACTCTGCCCGGAGCCTTTCTCAACATGCTCTGTAAGCCTGTTACGCTATGTGTAGTTTGGAAGAGGAAAAATTAACACGAAATATACGGCGGATGATTAAATATGTTGACTGTACTCTCTCCTCCACAGATCGCTGTCTATTCGTGCCCTTGGAAGCTTTTGTATTAGATCCCAGATAAGCTCCCATGACAAGGGAGACAACAACATCACTCAGTTCAATACATCATGTTATAAACATTAAATTGTGTGACTTTGGTTTTTAGTTTCCATTTTGATGTTATATTGTGTGGATGATTGTCTAGCCAGTTTGTCGGCTGGCCATCTGGTTGGGGGCCGCGGGGGGCCACGTTAGCGCAGTCGATAAGAGGCTCGCTTTCAAATCCAGCTGCGACTCGCTGCTGCCACGGTCGGTGTTCGAAACCGGGCGGTTTCCGGGGTTCACCCGGGGTCTACAAAATTTGTATGAAAGTTGACACTCTGGGGTAAATGGAGGAACTTCGCTGTAGCTCTGGTTATTTGTTTGTTCGTTATTTGGCTTGCTGGTTGGTTGACTGTCTAGTAAATTGCTTGGGTGGTTAGTTGATTGACTGGTAAATTGCTTGGGTGATTGGTTGGCTGGCTGGGTGTCTAGTTATTTTGTTGATTGGTTGGCTTTCTGGTTAATTAGTTGGAGGTTTTATCTGACTGGAAGTGCTTGGTTGGTTAGTTGGTTGTTTATTTGGCTGGTTGTTAGGTCAGTTGGTTGGCAGGCTGAGTCTCTGATTGCTTATTGGTTGGTTGGCTGGTTGGTTCATTCGTTCATTGGTTGGTTGGTTGGTTTGTTAATGGATTGCTTTATTGATTGGTTCATTTATTTTGGGGGATTTTAGTCCCTGGAAATGTCAGTCTTACTTTCTCTGGATTATCGTTCAGGTCCAAAAAATAACAATGTCTTGTCTCAACTATAATAAATGTGAGGTTGGTGAAGGGACATTCTATCCACATCTGGCATCCATGTGTCACTTCTGTGGGTATTGTAACACGATTCTGCTGCTTCTGATGTTGATGCGCCTCCAATACTAATACTAGTATTATTACTACTATTATTATTAATACTACTACTACTATCACTACTGCAACTACTTTTTCTTCTACTACTACTTCTGCTACTATTAACTACTGCTACTTCTTCTTCTTCTTTTATTACTACTACTACTACTACTACTACTACTACTGCTGCTGCTCCTGCTGCTGCTGCTGCTGCTGCTGCTGCTGCTTCTGCTGCTGCTACTACTACTGCTGCTACTGCTACTACAAGCATTTGTAGAACGGCTAAAGCTATCACTGATTGTTATATTAAAATATTTGTATTGTTATGGAATTCTAAATTATTTCAGTGTCAACATATGCTAGTTAACATTGGAGAGCCACTAAAGATATGGAATAACAGTTAAATAACGCTCGGGATAATGCCACAACAGGACAATGAATGAATGAATGAATGAATGAATGAATGAATGAATGAATGAATGAATGAATGAATGAATGAATGAATGAATGAATGAATGAATTGACATCAGTGCACTCCGGTCATTCCTTTAGTTTACAAATAATGAGGCATTAACAAAACGAGAGAAAATAAAACCCTCTCTGGCAGAGTAACTTACCTATCGCTTCTAGTAGATTTCCTCTCCAACATTTTTCTGGAGTGAGTCGCCACTGGCACTGACTGTAATTGTATCCATACTTTATGGGCGTTCTGGCTGGTGGGTGATAGTATGGGGGCGTCATATCCATGCTCCATGGGCGTTCTGGCTGGTGGGTGATAGTATAGGGGCGTCATATCCATACTTCATGGGCGTTCTGGCTGGTGGGTGATTGTATGGGGGCGTCATATCCATACTTCATGGGCGTTCTGGCTGGTGGGTGAGAGTATGGAGGCGTCATATCCATACTTCATGGGCGTTCTGGCTGGTGGGTGATGGTATGGGGCGTCATAGCCACACTTCATAGGCGTTCTGGCTGGTGGGGGTGGTATGGGGCGTCATATCAATACATCATGGGCGTTCTGGCTGGTGGGTGATGGTATGGGGCGTCATAGCCATACACCATAGGCGTTCTGGCTGGTGGGTGATGGTATGGGGCGTCATAGCCATACACCATAGGCGTTCTGGCTGGTGGGTGATGGTATGGGGCGTCATAGCCATACACCATAGGCGTTCTGTCTGGTGGTTGATAGTATGGGGGCGTCATATCCATGCTCCTTGGGCGTTATAGCTGGTGGGTGATAGTATGGAGCGTCATATCCATGCTCTATGGGCGTTCTGGCTAGTGGGTGATAGTATGGGGGTCATATCCATGCTCCATGGGCGTTCTGACCGATGTTTTGGGGCGCCACATTTTGTTACCGTGACACGCACAAGAAATTCATACAACATTCAGTTATGCATGTGACAGCAACCAACGTAGCTTCACCCCGCAATCTGCCCCATGGTAGCCGCACTTAAAGCAGTCCTGATGATGTAGCTGTTGTTGTAGATGATGCTGATGATGATGGTGGTGATTTTGACGATAATGTTAAGCTAGGTTTACTGAACCAAAAGGTAATAGCGACATAATGATAGTGGTTACGACGACAATGATGATAGTGGTGGTTGTGACGATGATGATGGTGGTTACGACGACAATGATGATAGTGGTGGTTGTGACGATGATGATGGTGGTTACGACGACAATGATGATAGTGGTGGTTGTGACGATAATGATGGTGGTTACGACGACAATGATGATAGTGGTGGTTGTGACGATGATGATGGTGGTTACGACGACAATGATGATAGTGGTGGTTGTGACGATGATGATGGTGGTTACGACGACAATGATGATAGTGGTGGTTGTGGCCATGATGATGGTGGTTACGACGACAATGATGATAGTGGTGGTTGTGGCCATGATGATGGTGGTCTTTCAGTGTTACTACCTGCTCTCGGGTTTTATGTCAGTCTGTCTGTCCCCCCCCCCCCCCCCCCCCCCCCCTAATCTCCCCAACAGGGATGCTTCTTGTTGATTTGACCATCCCCGCAACTTCAACAGACGCAACCTGGACGACAACCCCACAAAGCAAAAGTTCCAAAAATATAATACAGTTGAAATTATATTAAATAAATAAACAAATGCAGTGGTGCCTCGGTTTACATTCGCTTCAGTATACCTTGGTATACGTCCTGTTTAGAGGCGAAAACGTTTGCTTGGTATACGACCTTTGTTAGGAATACGAATTTGTGTGAATCAAAATTAGTATGAAATGCATTGTCTGGAATGGCTGCACAGTGTCACAATTCCGAAACATCTTGAGAAGATGGCAAAAGCAAAGTTCTGTGGGCATATTTTTGTAACAGTCAAACATGTGAGCCTCAGCGAGGTCCAAGAGGGGAAAAGATAGAAAACAAAAACAAAAATAAGAGAAAAAAAAAAAACACCAGAAGTTTTATTGGAAGGGAACTCTGCTTCCAAACAACATCTTCTCCTCCCTTCACAACACCATTCCAGTGTGCACTCGATTTTTCTCAGCAAAGTCAAGTGAGGTTGCATTTTCACTTATTTATTCTTACTGCTTTTGTATTGATGTACTTTAGTATTAACCCGTGTTTAAATTATTTACATAACTCCTTTATTTTTTTTTTTTTTTTTTAAGGACACGTCAGTTTGTTATCCGTCTTGTTTGGTATATTTTCCGACCATTTTGGGACGGATGAGAGACATATACTGAGCTGTCCCTTTGCTGGGGCTGGGATGTAAAGTGTTTGGTTGTCGCATATTCCACAACAATTGAGGTAGCGCAACCACTTCCCTTCCTCGCCGCATTTCTTTATCAGACATCGCCCGTTTAAAAACGGCAAATGTCTGGTACCAATTTGTATATTAGGGGAGTAGACTACACGGTCATCTGAACAGGTTAAATTCAAGATGCAGAAGATATAACATGAAAGTAAATACTACCAAGTTTGAAACAGGTCAGTAGAATTCATAGTCAGTTCATATAAGGTTGACTGGTACTTGTCTGAAGCTTAAAATATCATGGAATTATACTCTCAAAGGATGGGAGAATAGATCGGGAAAACGAAACAAGATGCCAACCAGCCAGTGCACTTATATACCAACTGAAACTGTTATTAAGACATCCAAACATAAGTATGAGCGCCAAAAACAAATAAACAAGATTATAAACAGCATATCTATACTCTCTTCTCTTCTGCCTTTCTATCCCCCAATGGAGCATAGGCCCTCAACCAACTCACGCCAAGTCGTTCTATCCTTCGCCATTACATGGAGCTCTCCCCATGTCCTCCCAATCTATCTAACCTCATTCTCCAGCTCTCTTCTCCATGTGTTTTTTGGCCTTCCTTTATTCCTATGCCCCTGTGGGTTCCAATGCAAAGACATTCTAGTTATGCTGTTCTCCTGTTTTCTCATTGTGTGCCCTATCCAACGCCAGCGTCTTTTCCTCACCTCCTGATCCACTGGAGCCTGTTTAGTTCTCTCCCAAAGTTCTACATTAGTTATTCTATCATACCATTTTATTCCCTCTATTCTGCGCAGGCACCAGTTAATGAATGTCTGTAATTTATTAGTAATTGCCTTCGTTGTTCTCCATGTTTCCGCCCCATACAATAGTACTGATTTGACATTAGAATTAAAAAATTTTAGTTTAGTATTTCTTTTAATTTCTTTTGACCTCCACAAATTCCCTAGTGCTATGAAAGCCCCTCTTGCCTTTTGTATTCTTATTTTAATATCTCTATCAGTTCCTCCATCTTTATCTACATTACTGCCTAAATAGGTGTACGACTCCACGTCTTGGAGTGGGGTGCCATTAAGAGAAACCACATTACTATTTGCCTTCTTTATTCTCATTATCTTTGTCTTTCCTTTATGGATTTTCAGACCAAGCTGCTGTGATCTCGCATTAAGTATATTTAATTTATCTTGTATCTGATTCCGTGAATGGGACAGAAGGGCAATATCATCAGCGAAGTCCAGATCATCAAGCTGTTTTGTAGGGGCCCACTGAATTCCATTCTTGGTGTTAGCAGTTACTGTTTTCATAGTCCAGTCTATATATCTATACTAACACTGTGTTACCAGTGCCAGACTTGGACATTATCAAAGTCTAACCTACGTAACATTAA